ACATCAGTGCTGCTGTTGGAAACAAGAGCTTACCAACCCCCAAAACTAGCATTTCCTCATCAGCTTCTTCAAAATCCTCCATCACTCAATTTCATGATGAAAAGCCAGCACGTCCTATTGGACCCGACGGGGTAATTAATTAAGCTAAGCTTTATTAATTTGTGTTCAGCTTCTACATACATGTCAACATATACATATATATATATATATATATATATGTATGTATGTATATGTTGACATGTATGTAGATATATATATATATATAACCTGCAATTTTATAGCATGCATATATTTATGTTTGTTGAATATATTTTCCTTTTGAAATGATTCTTGCGAGAAATATAGGAAAACGCTTCCTTTTCCTTTATCCATTACTTCCTATTATTAAAATGTATCAGAAAGTCCTATGTTAATTAACTAAATAATAAATTGAAGATATAAAATCTTAAGGTAAGCCTTTAATATAATTCATTATTTAGTTTATCAACATGGGACTTTTCAATACATTCTAGCTAATACCCATACATAAATATACTGAAAATATTGTAAGAATCTGCCTGTAAATTCTTAAGATGATTGCTTTTTCTTCCTCTATATTCTTCTAGTTTGAGAAAATATATAACAAAAGAATAAAGCCAAGCCCCCTCCCCTCATTCTTGAGCTGGTATATATATATATATATTTATTTATTTGAAAATGCACACATTTCTTTGTACAATAAAAAAATAACAACAAATCTTATCTCACTAGATGAGGTTAACTACATGTGAACTACATGATATCATTGTATTTTATTAACAATCACATCTTTAACTAAAAGACTCCTTTCAATGATTTCATTTAGTATTCTCTTTGATCTTTCTCTACCTCTTTTCACATATTACTTTGTCCAGTAAAATAAAAATGGTTATAAATTGAGTTTTTATATGCTCGTTCTATTAAAAAGGCAAGTTTAAGGAGTTGAATATTAAAAAATATAAGATATTTTAAAATATAATTATTGCATCTCTTTTTTTCAAAGGTGCATTATTTATATTTATTCTAGGGTGAAACACCTTATTAAATAGAGGTGAATATAAAAAAATAGGGTTAGTTTAAAAATAAGTAATTACTTTATTAAGATGTAAGATTTGGTTAAAATACTTTATATTTTTTAACAGAAGGAGTGTATATATATGTATATTCAATACCTTGTTATCTGTTTTTCCTTTTCCAAACTCATGCTTCTTGATCGAGTTCTCGTGATGCTACGCAATATGGCCATGGCATGGTGTGCACAAGCATCTCAATCAGCAAGTGATGAGCATATAAATGAGTTTGTTATTTGTTGAGTCAGTGAATTTATTTGACTTTAGATGTAGCTGGTGGCATTACAGATTTGAAGTTGATTTATACTATATTATTATTTTGGTAGCGAGGGTGATTAGAACAGAATTTTTGGCATATTCAAATCCTTGAATTATTGCTTCGAATTAGTGTGTGTGTGTGTGTGTATCAAATGATCATTCGATGAAAGGAATGATAATTGATGCATCCTTGAAATGTTCATTGAATTTGCAGAGCTATTATGAATGTGAGAAGTGTAATAAAGGGAGAAGACTGCTTTGCTGTGAAAGCTGCCCCCGAATATATCACCTGAAATGCCTTGGCCTTGAGGTATTCATTTATTTTATATTTAACACCTTCTCTCGTAGTATTAGTATCTAGTTAATGACTTTGCATTTATACGAGTTTCTCTCCAATCCTGCAACACACACACACACACACACACACACACACACACACACACACACACAAATACATGGTTCTCATAATTCGTGTGTTTATCAACATTTCTAAAGCTTCATTGTTTGTTTTACTTATATCTAATCCAATAGTGCTTGTATATACACCTATCTTCTTTTGGATTTAACAAGTTTTGTTATATCTAATCTAATATCGCACATCTCAAACCCTCTCCAATTAATCTAATAGTGTTTATCAACATTCATCTCTGTGGATCAAATTCCTGTGACGTTGACTTTCATGTAAATTTGAGATAATATTAACTGTTAATTAACAAAAACCTTCATGTAATCGATCTTGTTATCTAATTAAAGAAACGGTGGTTTGCTTGAGTCATTGAGTAGTTTCAATATAATATATATTAACGGGCAACCCATGAAAAAGATACTACATCTAATTTTTGATGACATGGCAATTTTACGCCACTTGATTTAATTAATGGTCAATATTATATCTCAAATTCAAAAAACTTTTAACAACCAACTTAAGAGGATTTTAATCCTATCTTTGATTTATCTCATTTTTAATCAAGCATGTCCAATCGTTCTAATACATTAATCTAATAGTAGTACTCGTAGGTCCTTACAAATAGGTGAAACTCATTCATCTCTATCTCATTTCAATCAAACGCATTGAATCGTTCTAATAATTAATTTATACGTTAATCAACACTTGTAAAGCTTAATATGTTTGTTATAAATGAAGCTTATTCCAGAAGGACAATGGCGATGCCCAAGCCGCTGCGATGATTTTTCGAAGCCAATTAAATACCTTCTGAGGGATTCTGCTTCAAAAGAAAGCAAACCTGCAGCCCCGAAGCTAAAATATATTTCTTCTGCTTCTTCACCATCAAAGAGGAATTAATTAATTAATTAGGTATTTTTTTTAAACTTGAGTTTGATAATCTTTTTGCATAGAATTTAATGTCCTGTTCATTGAATTGGCGTCCAGTGAATGCATCTATATTTGGCTTGAATAATTATTTCATTGAATGATCATATTTGAAGCTATATATAATATATATGATTTGCATTTCGAAGAAAATGAATAGTTCGAGACTAATTAAGAGATTAATTGGATTTTATAAGAAACTCCATATTTCATTTCACTTAAACTAGGTGTATATATAGGCCTCCTGTGTATTATGGTGTGGCATGCATTTTTTTAATATATGAATAAATAAAATAAAGTTTGTAAATTATACTCTGTCTCTCTCTCTCTCTCTCTCTCGCTATGTATATATGTATATACTTCTTGTTAATAGTATATCGAACTTTCCACAAATTTATTCAATTAAATATATAAATTCATGACAATATTTCGACATTGTTAGAGGAAATAGTCATTATGCATATACTCAACAGCTAACTAAATTCTCTCTGATATGAACATGATATACTAGCTAGAAGTTTCCCACCAGTCCCATTAAAAAGAAAAATGCAAAAATGAACTAAGACACTTTCCTTAACATTATATTTCTTGTAATCCCTGAATAAACTTCAAATATAGACAAAAAAATTTGTGGGGGGATTTTGTCTCTGTGCACGACAATATTGATGAAGATTCACTTGACTGTTAATTATGTAGTTGTGTCTTGGTAATTATTTGAAATACAACACACTCGCTAATTTTAATCAATATTCTTAATTAATTAATTAATTACGTATTAACCTGTTAGTCTTGTTAAATTATTTGTTTACTTATGACAGGTGAGGAAGAAGAGAGCGTAGAAGCACTTATATATCTCTTGCAGGCATGCATGTTTCGAATGTCCAAGATTTAGGCTTCCTATCATGTTTCATTTCGAGAATGTTATAAACTTATATTATGGTACCATGTTTAATTTTCTATTATCTATGACTGTTTTGATTAATTCTTGATCTAGATCTTCATAAATAATAGAGGCTTTATTATAAAGAAAATCCGACATATACCGAACAATATCTTGAAGATTTTTTTTAATTAAACAGCTAGATAATTCTGGGGAAAAAAGATAAGCACATTAATTGTATAATCAAAGTTTTTATTAATATTTTCTTTTCAGAGAAATTATATTATAACAAGCGAGATTTAATTATGCTGTGCATCGTATGTGTTTGTATTTCGGAGTCGGAGGTACGTGTCCCTTAGCAAAAGAGGGATATGCAAATTTCGACAGGCTTTACTTTCTTTTGTTGTTTAGAATAATTATTTAAATTATTTAACAATGTAGATTATATATATATATATATATATTGCTTTTTCTTATTAGTTATTATGACCAGATATAAAAGATTTGGATTCTATGCATATTGTCTTAATTACATCTCTGCATTCACAATTAAAATATTTATTTAATTTTCTTCTATTGTTTAGAATAATTATTTCAATTATTTGTCAGTGGATGAGATATATATATATATATATATATACATATATATATTACTTTTTCTTCTTCATATACTCATCTTACCTCTTTTTTTTTAATTACTTATGACCAGATATAAAAGATTTGGATTCTTTGCATATTGTCTTTACTACATCTGCATTCACAATTAAAATATTTATTTTCTAATTTTCTTTTATTAATCCAACAAAAGTACCCAAGTAGATAGAATCCAAAACCTAATGACTATAAAATCCACCCGTAAAATTTCTACAAATTACTGTACCATTTCTTAAGGCAAGTCATTGATATATAATATAAAATGAAAAGAACTTTTAGTTTGGCGGAAAAGAAAAGGAAAAAAAAAAAACCTTTTTCTCACCAACTCACACACACACAATATTAAAAAAAAAACACGCTAATATAGATTTTAAAATAAATTTCTAATCTATACCACAAAATGACAAAATAAAAATTGAGTTTTTTTATTTATACAATATTGTATCAAAAGCAAAATTACCTAACTCATTGTACACATCATATATAATATTCTCTCAAATTTTTATTATAAGAAACTTTCTAAAATCATACTTTTAATTCTTAAAATAAGTTATTTAATGGAATATTAACTATGTTGTTATAATATTAATACCCTTAGTTAAGCTCATGAGACATATATAAGACAGAGTGGTTTACCATAATTTATCAGAGTAAATGTGGATAAATTAATATCACAAGGTCAATACATTGAAATTGAGGCTGAAGAAATTAAAAAAAAATTACATTTTTATTTAACGTTTTCCCTCCAAGCAACGTTGCTTTTGTGTGCTTTGCCTTTGAACGCTGTCTCATGAACGACACGTTTGCAGCAAATAAGGAAGAATCAAGGGATTCCATTTGCAACAACCCATTCCTCTCACTCTCTGACATCTGTACAGCCGTTTCCTGCTTTCTTCCTTTTCTGCCTCTTTCTCACCACTTCTTAAACGCTTCTTCTATTCACTTCTCTCCTGCGACCTCGCTTCTCATCGCTCTCTTTCTCGGTATGCTTTCTTCTTTCCATGTTTTTTCCTTCTTTTTTGCTTGCTTTGGATTAGCTGCATCGTGCTTGAACTTCGACGGTGATGAGTTTTTTAGAATTCTGATGAGTCTCATTGGTTGTTTGCTCCACCAGAAGTTCGAGTTTTACTTCTGGATCACTTCTGATCTGTCAACTTCTCTGTGTGGTTTATATCGTATTCTCGTTCTTTGAATGTTATTTCGTTCTCTATTGCTTGCTTCCATTAGCAGGTCGCTCGAACTTCGATGGTGATGAGTTTTTTCAGAATTCTGAGTTTTATTGGCCAGAAGTTCGAGTTTTTCTTCTGGGTCACTTCTGACCTGTTAAGTTCTCTTTGTGGTTATATCGTATTCTTGTTTTCTGAATGCTGTTTCGATGGTGGTGAGTTTTTCAGAATTCTTCTGAGTTGCACTCGTTGTTTGTTAGCATACAGAAGGTCGATGGTGACGACGATGTTGTAGAAATCTGAGTTTCATGGGCTTTTAGCTTAGATTTTAGCTAAATTTTGCAACTTCAGAGTTTATTTCAGATCCTGTATCAGTGATTCCTTCTTGATTTCTGGATCAAAATGAAGTTTTCTGTTCCCTCCCAGAGGGGACGCGATTTTACTTTCGAAAAATATCTGTCACATATGTATCCTTCTCGTTCATTCAAGTAAAGCTATTCTCTGCTACTTTCTCATGCCGTTCATCATCATGCTTCCCTTTGCAGCATGTGAAGCTTACAATGTCTCACTGTTTCAGCAACTGAATAACTCTTTGATATTCCTTAATTCTTTCATTTTAAATTTGGTGTCTTCTCTCAGAAGATTGATATTGATATTACTGTGATATTGTACTACTGTACTTGATTCATATTTGTAGTTGGTGATTTTCTGGGGTGATTGTTTGAAGTTTAAACTTAGGTCTTTATCTGACAGTTTAACTTTTCACCCAGAATTTTTGAGGATCATATGGCATCATCTAATAATGTTGACAATAATGGTGGATTTCTGGTGTATAGACGCAAAAGAAAAGGCACATCTCCGGAAGCAAGCAAGCCATTCCAAACTGCTGTAGGGATCATATCCATAAATTCAAACACTTCCGAGGCGAAAGCTGACAGCAACACACCAGCTTCTGGTGTAGCAAGGGATAGAGTGAGTTTTCCCCAACTATCTCGCCACTGCTAGAAATTTCATTAATATCTCTTCCTATGGCTTGTTAATAAAACGAACTATGAACATCCTGATTTTGCATTGTAGAATGTGATCCAGAATAAGTGGTTCCAAATGAATCCCTTCTCTCATTTTATTGTAGTGTAGTTTTCCGAATGATATCACCGATTATTGTAGTTTCATGGCATCAGAGCCTAGTTAATATAATGACATCACCTCCGGGCATGAATAGAATATAGGAATTGAGACGTGTTAATATTGTTTGTCTAACACTGGACATGGAATGCTAGATGAAGAGTTTTAGTTTATAGGATCTAAGGAAACATCAATAAAAAACACTATATTTAGTTACTGTGAATAGAATCTCTTGTAGATGATTTTGCTTTTATGCCTAACCAGTTTTTCCAGCTTTACTATATATATATATATATATCGATGTTTTGTTGTATTGCTACTAGTGTGTTAGGGCTTGATACCTATGTCCAAACTATCTATTATTGTTGTTTTTTAAGCGCCGTCACTTATTGTTTTATTCTTTGCAATCATGTATTGTCAGCTCAAAAAGAAGGTGGAGTTTGATATCAGTGGAATGGAACATCATGGAGGAGCTCCAACTTCTGGGACTCAACTTGGAAGTGCCATGGTACAACAAACCCCAAAGGAAGTCAGAGATGGTAAACATTTGGTTGTCAGGTGCTAGTCCTCTCTCTGCACTTCTGGATTGAATATTATTGATCATTTATTCATAATTGATTAGCTGCACTCAAATGCTTTGGTTTTCTTTCATGATTTATCCCTAACTTTGGTACTTGTTCATATGCCCTTAATTATTTAGCATTTGGACTTCGTTTTCTAGCTAGGTTATTTGGGATGCTTATACAAGTTACAGTAACAGCAACTAATGTAGAAATCCTTAATTTCTGTACTACTGCTCAGCTATTTGTTTTCTACAGTATATATTTTGTTTAAAAAATCCTTGATCTTTAATGAATTGTTGAATGATGGATGGGAAAATATAGGGAAGTTTTGCAGAAGTCAATGGAGGAAGAGGTTGACGAGTCAAAGCTGCAGGCAAGTGATCATAATGTCTATTGATTCATCAGATTGCTCTAAGTTTCAATTATTTTTTTGGGTATGTTAACTACAAACTTATATTATTAATACCAATGTCAAACAGAGTAATGATGCCGCTATAGTGCAGCAACTAGCCCCAGTACACACTCCATCAGGCCATCAAGCCATGAAAGAGAAATTGTAAGTTCATCAAGTCAAGTTAATTAATCGTCATGCTCTTATCATAAATATGTGGTTAAAATAACATTATGGTTCGATAATTTTAGACCTATATAACTTTAGTCCTTGATATCTAACAATCATATGAGTTAGCCTCTGAAGTTTAAACATGACAAATTCATCGCATTGACGAGTTTTGCTTTCGAGAAAATAACTCATTCACATACTATAATCTTTGGGAGTAAGGATAAATAATAGGCAATACAATTCAGAACCTAGATTTGAAGTTCACTGTTAATAATATTAACATTAATACTATATAACGACGTTGTTAAATCAGTGTTGAGCTTCGCAAAAGACAGAAAAGAAGACTACTAAGAGTAAAGAAAGAAAGGAAGGAGGCTCACTCACGTTCAAGACTTGTTGAAGAACCAAAGCAAAGATCTGATCCTGGGATTTTCAAAAGAGAAGGTAAGGAATTTCATTAGTTAATACATTCAAAGGAGGTAGGGCAAGCAATTAATTAGATAGACAGGTCCTTAATTAAATCATTGATAATAACTGTAAAAATTGTTGACTAAACTAGGTCCAAATTCTCTGGCGTGCTCTTCTTTAATAAGTTTGAAGGGCAAAGGCATCACAATTCCAAATGCTTCATTGCAAGTGGTAAACTAAGTTCTTCTCCTTTATTTTTCTTTTCTTTATTTTCCTTGAGGTTTTAGAATAGTACTTCATTTCAACTTGGCACAGTTGCACCATTAGATTGCTTATTACTTTTTTTTTATTACAACAAAGCATAGTCCAGCTTGTTTTAATTTGAACAATGTTGTTTCTTTATGCAATGTTTGGTTAAGCATAAAAATTTTTTTCTTGAAAAGAAATGAGAAACAAACCTATTCAATTTTCTTTTAAAATACGTGTTATTTCTTTTGTAGAAAATATTTTTCCGTATACAAACATTGCCTTAGTGTATTGAATAAAGAAATTTAACATTTTTAGGCTTTGTTTAGAATGGATAAATTAAAAAATAATGAGAAAAGAAAACTATAAGAAAAAGATATTTTTCACCCTTATATTTCTTAACTTTTTCCTAGAGAGGAGGAAAACTGAAGAAAAAAATTTACGCTAGGGAAAAGCAAAAGTCATTTCCTTTACTTTTCTCTCTCTAGTTTTCTTTCATTTCTATTTTTTTTTTCCTCATTTGAAAAAAGGGAGGGCTAGTGTGTTTATTAAAGCAGAATTATCATTCAAACTTTTAAATTCAAGATTTGTCCAAATCTGTGAGAAATTCTTCGATAATACTTCTAGAAACGTGGTCTATACTATAACGTAATACAATGATTCCAAATCACACATAATTAAAGAGTGTCCACATGCATGATAGATATATAATTAATGATAGGACTAATGTATTATTCAATTCCATTCTCTTTCTGATCTTCATTTAAAACAAATTTCATTAGAAATAATGAAATATGCGGGCGGACCATTACATGTGATTTAGAATTAGTTGTGATGGGTAAAGTATATATATGACAGAGTAGTACTCTTATGTGATGTTTGGTAGGTAGAAATTAAAACACTCTTATGTATGAAACTAGAAAAGAAAGCATTGTTCTTTCTACCAAACATTGCATAATAATCGTGTATAAGAATTTCTCTAGCTAAAATGCTTTCTCGAGTAACCTAGAGGGACTAGGATAGGATTGCTTGAAATTAATCCTACTAACTAGAGGAACTTGTGGTGATTGTCATCAGCCTCAGATTGGTTCAGCTTCAGGCTTTCCATCAAACGCCCCATTTAACAGATCAACTTTGAACTCAACAACGCCGCCATTGATGATGAGGAGACCTGCTGGTTTTCTTAAACGCAACACAAAGCCCAATGACTGGAGTCAGATCGAGCTTGATGCTCTGTGGATTGGTGTTCGCAGATATGGCCAAGGTAACTGGGAAAGAATACTCACAGATCAAGCTGGTTTCATTTTCAAGAACAAAACCCCACAAGATCTCTCCACCAGGTGGAACATGGAGCTTCTCAAAATCATGCCTCCATTATTTGCTCATCAGCAACCAACCTGCTTCAATAACATTCTCAATCCTACCATGTCATCATCACTGATGATCAGAAACGGAATGATGAGCTCTCACCATCATTTTGCTCCTCAAGGCCCATTACTGATGAATGTCAATCCACGGCCAAACGTGGCTGGACTTATGTTTCAGACATTCCATCATCATCAGAGGGCTGATCATCTGAAGATGATGGAGGCATTGCAGCAGATTGCACCGATGAAGAATAATGTTGCTGTGCAGAGAAACTGGTTTCCAGTAAGACCTGAGCCTAATAACTTGAAGATGGATCATGGTTGTGTCCAGTTTCCATCTATGAAAGAGAACAAGAACAACAACAACAACAACAATAATGCAGGTCATCGTTGTGATCACCCCATTACAGTGATTGGGTCAGATTCTGAACAAGACTCGAGCAACAGCTTGTCTGAAACAACTTTGTCTGCTTGATATATGCCTAGTTTGTCTGAACTTATGGATCGTTCAATTTATTTATGTTATCGCTAAGAACTTATGAAATGTTTTAGAATACTTTATGCACAGGGATGCAGTTTATATATGTTTTTTCTACTAATTAGCTTCTTATAGAGCCTTGGAGTCTGGATATCTTGCATGTCTGAAGGATGTAATGTGACTCTCGTAGAGATTTTAAGGTCATTAATTATCTCATAAAATATGTACTTTCTTTGGTTTAGTTCTCTCTTAATTATACGATCCATTTTCAGACACAGCTGCATGTTATATAAAAAAAAAAATTGGAAGTACACAAATTAGGAAAATATGATTATAGAGATATAAAAACGATACTTGTTTTAGTTTTATATCTCAAAATGCTTTCTTGTGTATTATACGAAGTTTAGAATAAGCCATACTATTTATAGATATTATAAATGGTATGACTCATTTGAGATTTTATTTTACATTGATATTGATTATTGTATTACTAATATAACTAGATGATAAGCCTTGTGCATTATAAAAAATTATAAATATAACAAGGCGCAATGTTGGTAACTTGTAAATAATATGTATCTTCTTCATTGTAAATTTATTAACTATATCTAATTATATACACACATGTTAAATATGAAGTTTAATTAATTGAAAAGAAAATCCATATAGAAAAAATACATATTGCATATTTTACAGTATAATAATATATACTCAAAACGGGGGGGAAAAAGCGTCCTGCCTAAAAAATCTATAAAAAATGCAACTTATCTCAAATTAAATGCAACATGTTATGCCCACATTACAGTTAACTATGATAGAATGGAAGGAAAAAAAAAACAAGTCTCCATTATTCTAAACTATAATATTATCATACAAATACTTATAAATATATACTTAAATTTATAATTAGTAATTCTCCATTTTAAAATACTCATATATATATATATATTCAGAATTTTGACCTTTTCTCTCTTCAAAATCTGTGAATTAAATAAAAGTGAAAAGAGGAGAAAGCGAGAGAAGCCAAATCCAAAATTAATCATGTGGTCCTTGTATAATTGCAACTCAATTATAAATCAATCCCTAAACTTACCAAGATCAATATACCCTGAGACATGTAAGTTTGAGGATATCTGGGTCTATGCACACATGAGACCCATCCTAGTGGTATCAGAGCCATAATCTTGTAAATTGATTTTTATGGTTTTGACTTGATTGTAACCCCGTCTCTAAACTTTGACCCAATGTAATTCAATTCATATAGTTTTAACAATTTAAAACTATATTAGTCCTTATATTTTAGGAATAAAATTTTAGTAAAATTATGTTGACATTTAGGGACTAATATTTTAAATTATTAAAACTTTTAATCTTTATAAAGATTAAAATTTTAAAATAATTTCAATCTTTATAATTTTATTTGCTAAAATATAAGGACTAATATTTTAAATAGTTAAAGCTATAGGGATTAAGTTGTATTAAGTCAAAGTTTAAAGTCTGATAAGGATGAATATGTTGCCCCCGAGCAAAATATTTACCATCTTGTAATTAAATATTTGAAGTCATGCTTTGTAAATTAGTCATAAAAATTTTGTAGCTAAATCTTGATCCCCATAGGTAGAAGAAGAAGAAGAAGAAAATTTGGCCACCTAGAAAAAAGTTATACATCCGTCATTTAGAATTGAGATACAATTAAGTTAAAATTTTAACAATTGAGTTACAATGACTCAAAGTTCAAAAACAGAGTTACCATTAAATTAAATACAAAGGCCAAATGATTGATTTTTCCTTTCAATTAAATATTAACTACTTTAATTTTTTTTGGTATGCTACTTTAATTTTTTTTACCAATTATATCATACAAATATATACTTTATTACAAAAAATATTAACTATTTTAGACTATTTGACAAATTTATTTTTACTCTATGCTTACTTCTAAACCACAAATATTTCAAAACAAAGGTTTTAATTATATATTGATTTTGATATGTTTGATTATATGAATATTTAGTTTAGCATGAGGAATTGACCTAAGACTTGTGAGAGAGAGGACTTGAATGGAAAAATAATTATTATTGAATTCTTGAACAGTTGAACTACAATACTGTCCAAACATGACTCAAGTGGATTTGTCGACGTCTAAAACCAAGCCCAAAGTCCAAATATTCTAAATCTGAGAAGTGCAGTTGAAGTTGTTATGCAACACATGGGCTTGATAGTTTTTTAGTTAGAATTGATTAGTTGTATCATTGTTAATCTATTATTTACCTGTATGAGCTGGCAGTCTCTCATTGTTTACCAGTACTCATCTTTATCTATATAAAAAGAGTACGTACTCTAATATGAATATGATTAGAATGTAATTTTCACTCACATTCTCTGTGTTGCTTTTCTCTCTCTCTCTCTTTCTTAGTTTTAATTCGGTATCAGAGCACGAAGATCATAGAGGCCTCCGTACCATTAGTTGGAACATCTGACGATCACCTACCTGTTACAATGACGGTGATGATTCCTCAAGTAACAACGATGGCTACTAAAATCACGCCATTACTAAGTAGCTTGAATCAAGCTGGTGTTATCAAGTTGGATCACACCAATTACATTCTCTGGAGTTTACATGTTCTTTCTATTGTGAGAGGACACCATTTAGATGGTTTCTTACTTGGAACCAAAGCTTGTCTAACAGAGTACATTATTATCAATAACGATGTCCAACTCAATCCTGATTATGAAGATTGGATTGCTACAGATCAATTGCTCTACGGTTGGCTTGTCGATTCTATGACAGCTGAAGTCATGCTCACATGCTTCATTGTGTTATGTCTGCTTAGTTATGGACAACTACACAACAATTCATCAATGCTCAAACTAGATCAAGATCATTGTTGCTGAAAGGTGAATTGCAGTGTATTGAAAAAGGCAATATGAGTATGGAGAAATATAGTGATAAAATGAAAATTTTATTTGATAATTTAGCACTTGTTGGTAGTCCTATTTCTACCTCGAATCTTATTATGATGACACATACTAGATTAGATTTAAAATATACACTGATTGTGGTTTAACTTTCTAATAGAGAAAATTTCTCTTGGTTAAAGATGCAGTCTAAACTTTTGACTTATGAGTCTCACTTAAAATATGTTCATCGACTTGGTACTTCAAATATTAGTTCTTCCTTTACAAATTTGTCTATTCAATCTAACTCTTTTGACTCTCGTGCTCCAAACCAGGGTGGACCATAAGGAGGTGGTCATAAAACAAATCATGGAGGATGAAGACGTGGTTATACTGGTCATCCTAACAAACTAGTATGCCAGGTTTACTTTAAGCAAGGACTTATGGCTTTTGATTGCTTTTACAGATTTGAACGTGACTTTGTTCGACTAGATTCGCAGCATCCTTCTACACCGACAGCGTATTTTGCTTTACCCAAGGTGGTAAATGATCTAGCTTGGTATTTTAATAGTGGTGCTACACATCACATTACTTATAACTCTACTGGTTCTTCTTCTTCTAACAATGGTTCGAGTACTCTTGAAATTGGAGGTAAACATAAGTTGTGTATTCATCATGTTACAAATGCTCAATTTTCTAATACTGTGTCTAAACCATTGAAGCTGAATAATATTCTTGTGGTGCCAAAAATTCAAAAGAATTTACTAAATGTTCATAAATTGGCACTTGATAATGATGCACTAATAATGTTTAATGCTCATGGTTGCTGTGTAAAGGAAAAGGTGACAAATAAAGTGGTCTTGACAAGGAAGCTGCATGAAGGAGGCTTATATAAAGCTAATGATAAACCAGTTTATCCAACTGCTTTGCTATATCAGCAGAAAGATGAACAAGCATATCTTACTGCCATTAATACTTGGCACAAATGATTGGGTCATTATTCTATTAAAGTTCTCAATCTTGTGTTAACACAATGTAACATTTTTTATTCTGCTAATAAAGAAGTTGAGTTTTACTTTGCTTGTCAACTTGGCAAGTCACATGCTCTTCCTTTTTCATTATCTGATTCACGAGCATCTGTACCACTTAAACTCATTCACTCTAACCTGTGGGGTCCAACACCCATTACTTCTTCTAATTGTTTTTAGCATTATATTAACTTCATAGATGATTTTAATCATCACACTTGGCTGTATCCATTAAAGGCCAAAAATGATGTATTGTCTGCCTTTCGTCATTTTAAAACAATGATTAAAAACCAATTTGATAGAAAAGTTAAACAATTTAAAAGTGATAATGGTGGTGAATGTCGAAGTTTTGTTCCTTTATTCACAGAATCTGGAATTATTACTCAATATTTGTGTCCTTACACATCTGCTCAAAATAGTCATGCTGAATGCAAGCACAAGCATATTTCAAAGTTGATCTTAGTTTACGAGCTCAAGCACATATGCCATTAAAATTCTAGTGGGAAGCCTTTACCATAAGTATGCACATTATTAATAGATTACTTACTCTAGTGCTTCAGAATAAGTCTCCTTTTGAAGTTTTATGGCACAAAACTCCTGATTATAGTAATCTAAAGATTTTTAGATGCGAATGTTTTCCCTATCTGAAGCTTTACAACTCTCATAAGATGCAATTTCATACTAAGCACTGTATATTTCTTGGTTACAGTAGTAGTCATAAAGGTTTCAAATGCATGAATTCCAAGGGCTACATTTTTATCTCTTGTCATATGATTTTTAATGAAAATTCCTTCCCTTTTTCTATTAATTGTTCTATAGAAACTTCAATCACTCTTGTTGTTCAATCCATTAATAATCTAGCTGAGTCGTTTGAAATTTTAGAGTTTACTTAAACCCCATTATGCACTAATGATCTAGCTCCATCTTCATCCTCGAGGAGTGCCTTCTAGTTTCAACCCTTATTTCTTCTGATGTTATCTTGCCTAATCCCTCTCCATCTCCATCTTCATCTTTGCCTGCACCTCCTACACTTCTAACTCATTCTATGGTTATTCAGGCTAAAAATGGAAT